CACGGCCACGCTGCGCCACGACGCTGATGGCCAGGCCACGCTCCTGAACCTTCTCCTGAGGAATTATCTCCACTACAACCTCTACGACCAGGCCGAGAAGCTCGTCTCCAAGTCCGTGTTCCCCGAGCAGGCCAACAACAACGAGTGGGCTCGGTACCTGTACTACACAGGTGAGCACCACTCGGTGCCTGCCCTGGCTCCTGGCACCCTACACCGAGGGCTCCAGTTCCTCAGAGAACCCCTTTGAGCAGCTGGAGGTGGGGCTTCCAGGCAGGATTTGGAGCCCCATCCACGTAGGTCAGGTTGGATTCACTGGGTGGCTTTCCCCACCCGCCCCGTGTGGGCGCAGGGCGGATCAAGGCCATCCAGCTGGAATACTCGGAGGCGCGGCGGACCATGACCAACGCCCTGCGCAAGGCCCCGCAGCACACGGCCGTCGGCTTCAAGCAGACGGTGAGTGGAGAGGGAACAGGACCCCCCTGGGTTGGGTCTGAGACCCCTTGGGGTTGGGATCTCACAGGGCTTGGATGTGGGACCTTCTGGGATGTCAGGCCCCATGGTATCGGGTCCCCTGGGATTTGGTACTTCCCACGGTCAGGACCAGGACTCCCCAGGAGTGGGCTCCACAGGGATGGTTCTGTGACTTCCCAGGCTTGGCATGTTCCAGGATGAGATCTGGGACCCCCCAGGATTGGGCTATGCAGGGACAGCTGTGGGATCTCCAAGGGCTGGGCCCCATTGGGACAGGTTTGGGACCTCCCAGGGTGTTGAGCCCTGCAGGGATGACAGGTGCAGGATCTCCTAGGTTTGGAGCTTCCCAGGGACAAATCTGGGACCTTCCAGGCCCCACAGGGACAGGAACGGGTTTGAGATCTCCTGGGGTCTTGTGCCCTGTGGGGGTGTGTGCAAGACCTCTTGGAGTGCACAGGGACAGAGATGGTTTCAGGCCCCGTGGGGACTCACTCAGGGTCTCGCTGTGCCCCAGGTGCACAAGCTGCTCATCGTGGTGGAGCTGCTCCTCGGGGAGATCCCAGACAGGCTCCAGTTCCGGCAGCCCTCGCTCAAGCGCTCGCTCATGCCCTACTTCCTGCTGACCCAGGGTACGGCCGCCCACCCCTGCCTGCCTCTGTCCTTCCTGCAATGTCAGAGAATCATGGAATATCCTGAGTGGGAAGGGACCCCGTGGGAATCCTCTTCTCTCCCCTTGATGGGACTTGGATGCAGATGCCACTTGGGAAGGAGGAGAAGGAGGAAGTCAGCCAGCCCTGACTCACTTTCCCCAGCCTTTCTCCTTCCCCCATTCCCACCTTCTTCCCTCCAGCCGTCAGGACAGGGAACCTGGCCAAGTTCAACCAAGTCCTTGACCAGTTTGGGGACAAGTTCCAGGCCGATGGCACCTACACCCTGATCATTCGGCTGAGGCACAACGTCATCAAGACAGGTACGAGGGTGTTTGGGGACCCCCAGCAGGCTGGGCAGGCCTGGGGGGCTGCATCCCGTTCCCTTCTCCCTGCAGGTGTCCGCATGATCAGCCTCTCCTACTCCCGCATCTCCCTGGCCGACATCGCCCAGAAGCTGCAGCTGGACAGCCCCGAGGACGCCGAGTTCATCGTTGCCAAGGTACCAGCACAGGGAGTCCCATCCCTATGGGGTCCTGGGGTGCCCAGAGCTCCCCACCCTGCCCCGTTCCCCCACACCCCCTCCCTGCAGCACCGCTGGGTTTGGGTTGAGGCTCCTCCAGGGCAAACTGGGGACTCTTGGGGCACCATATCCCCACTCTGTGAGCCCTCGGGGACACCCTGTGCCCTGCCCCGTGCCCGGGCTCACAGGCCATCCGGGACGGCGTGATCGAGGCCAGCATCAACCATGAGAAGGGCTACGTCCAGTCCAAGGAGATGATCGACATCTACTCCACACGGGAGCCCCAGCTGGCCTTCCACCAGCGCATCTCCTTCTGCCTCGACATCCACAACATGTCTGTGAAGGTGAGCACTGCGTGTCCCCAGCTCCCTGATGGGGACAGCAGGATGTGGCTCAGGGCTGGCTCAGCTCTGAGCCCCTCCTCTTCTTCTTCTCCAGGCCATGAGGTTCCCACCCAAATCTTACAACAAGGACTTGGAATCTGCAGAGGTGAGATCTCACCAGGGTCTCTGCAGCCACGGGAAGGATGTGGCTCCTGTCCCCACCTGCCACCAACCTCGGCCTTTGCTTTCCAGGAGCGCCGGGAGCGTGAGCAGCAGGACCTGGAGTTTGCCAAGGAGATGGCAGAGGACGATGACGACGGTTTTCCATGACCCTGGGCCTGGCTGTATTTTTTTATTTGTCCCTTGGACAGATGGTGGCTGAGCAGGGCCCTCCGTCCCCCCCCAGACCCCCTTTTATAAATCCCTGCATGTCTGTACTGTGGGAGGGGACATGGGGGGTTCCCTGGGCCCGCACCCCCTGACCACCTGCACTTGTGGTGGGACCCCCCGTCCCCAAAAAACATCCTTAAAAGGATCCCTGTGGTGACATCGGAGCCGATGCCAGGGGGGCTGCGAGGGGAGCGGGGCTGGAGGGAGCAGGAGTGGGGTCTCCACTGGTGCCCCCCCAGCTCCCACGACAACAACGGGGTCAAACTTTGTTAAACTTCAATTATGACTTTTAAAATAAAATATGGAAAAACACCAGGGTGGCTCCTGCTGTGGGTTTGTTGGGATGGGAAGGGGCGTGGGGCTGGTTTGGGGTCTCTGCTCTCTCCCTGGGGCTGGGCACCAGTGATAGGACTAGATCTGGTCAGGCCTGGAGGGCCTGGAGCTTTGTCTCAGTCGTGCTGGGAGCGGTCCCAGCAGCTCCAGGATGCTATCCCAGGAGAATTCCATTGGGAAAGGCACAGAGCCCCCCTTGTGCCCCACAACACCACCCCTGGGGGTGATGCAGCCACTCCAGGTGGGGTCCCATCAGCATCTGGGATGAGTTCTCTCAGAAAATCTGGGAAACTCCCAGTCACACCCATGCTGGGATGGCAGCCAGGGCTGCAGGTCAAGAGTGGGGCTGTCCCAGCCCATTCCCGCTCTGGTGGTCTCTGGGGGAGACCAAAGAAGGCAAGAGCCCAGCCAGGGGTGCTGGGGCTGGCACTGGGGACACAGGGACATCCCAGGAGCACTGGTGGAAAGAGGCTGAAGAGGAAGGGTGACACAACGGCGTGGGTGCCCAGGACAGTCCCTGGACCGAGCAGCTCTGGCCCCATGGTGGGGGGGTGGTTTGCTGGGCCAGCTCCTTCCCCCACCCCCCAACACCCACAGTTTCAGATTTGAAACCACTTCCTTCCTTGGAAAGCTGACAGGGCCTTTGGGCGCTGATTCAACCCCCCCACGCCCCCATCACAATTCCTGAAAGCACCATCCTGCTGAGAGGGCAGCTCTGGGGTGATCCTGTGGCTGCTCCGACTGAGGGGACCCCACTGAGCCCCTCTATGGCCTCTGGCTCTCCCTGGCTCCGGGCTGGGGACAGGCAGAGCTGGGGGGGCTGTTTCTCCCAAAAATCCCATCAACAGTCTCTTATTGCCAAGGTCCCTTCACACATCCACAGCGCAGGACATTTAGTGCTGCCAGGCTTGAAGGGAGGTCATCAGCAGGTTTTAGAGCGCACCTGGCTGTGCCAGGAAGGCTCAGCTTGGTACTCATGGATTGGCTGCAGCTGATGGGGGTTTATTTCCCAGCTGGAGGCAGGAACTTCCAGGACTTCCAATTTCTGGAGCTGGTACTATGGCTGTACCCCACAAACTGTACCCACAAAGTACCCCACTGGATGTGTGGCCCATCCCAGCGCCCACCAACATCTGCAACCTGCAGACACTGGGTTCCCTGTCCCCATCCCTGTCCCCATCCCTGTCCCCATCCCTGTCCCCATCCCTGTCCCCATCCCTGTCCCCATCCCTGTCTTACAGCCTCCAGAGGGGCAGCGATGGGACCCAGGCAGGGGTCAGGAGTGCAGAATGAGCCTCCCCAGCCCGACGCTGCTCTGGGGTCACCCTGTCCGGGGCTGTGAGGGGAACGGGTGCCTCTTGTGCCCCGACTGGCCCGTGTAGGGCAGGAGCCGGCCAGCTGGCACCAGCCCAACAGATCCTGGAAGGACTTGCGGGAACCGGCACGAGCCAAATTCCCTCGTCAGCGCAACGGGGCCAGGAGCAGCCACCCCTTGCCAAGGGCTGCCCTGGAAGCCTCTCCCCTGTAGGGCAGAGTGGGGGGTTGGCCCCTCGCAGGTGGGGTCAGCCCGATGTGGCTGGTGCTTGGTGCTGCTCATGGGGACCCTGGGCACAACCCTGCCCCACAGCGCCCAGCAGGGCAGGATCTGGCCCCGTGCTGCTGCCTCAAGGAGCCGCAGCCCTGGGCACGTGCCTGGCCCGGGTCACACCTTGGCCACCTCCAGCTGGTGCCACCACCCTGAAGGTCACACCGCCAGCACCAGCCCTGATGCCGGAGCGAGGGTCTGGGGCAGCTGTCAGGGAGTGCTGCCCACGCGGGCTGGGGATGGGGACAATGCCAGGGTGACAACAGCAGCGAGAAGCCACCATCCCCTTGGCTGGTGGCGAATGACCCTGCGAGCGACCCTGCACGTGACCCTGCTGTGCTGGGCACTGGCCCACCTGGCCAGTGGAGTGGGAGCCCTACGAGCAGGTTAATGAGTCACCAAGACACCGCCTGCCCTGTCCCGGCACCAGCCTCAGTGCCTGGGCTCCTCCGGGCGGCTGCAGCCTCCCCGAGGGGCACCGCTGCCCACCGGCCCCGGGAAAACCCCACGGTGTGGCCGCGGCCGAGCACCCGGTTCGCGAGATTTGCATGCTGTGATTAAGGCAGTGAAGCAATCGCGCTGTTGCCTCATCGGTGAGAATCCCCGAGGCCCGAGTGCTATAAATGCCCCCGATCAATGAGCACAGCCGGGCAGGAGAGAGCGGAGCCGGGCCGGGCTGGGCAGGGCCGCACTGAACAGAGGAGGAGACACCGAGCCGGGCACCCACCATGTGCTTCCTCACCCGTGAGTAGCCAGCACCCAGTGCAGCACCCTCATCTCCCACTGCTCCCACTACACCCGCTTCCCCCACTGCTCCCGCTGCACTCAAACCACCCCAAAACCTCACTTTTCCCAGAGACCAGCTGCCCCCACTGCGCCCAGACCACTCTAAGAGTAGCACCCACTGTCTCCACTGCACCCAGAGCACCCATAAACCCACCCTACCTGTGGCACCTGCTGCACCCGCACACCCACAGCCCCCTGCTGCTGCCCTCGGCACCGCTCGGATGCAGGAAACACTGGTCCCTCTCCCCTTTTGGGGTCTCCGCCCCTTCCCCAGGCCACGCTGCTCCCACCATCCCCAGGGTGGTCCTGGTTGCTGAGCCCATCCTGGCTGAGGGCTCGGGGCTCCCTGGGGTGCCGGGGATGCTGAGCCGCTGTCCCCGCAGGTGGGCTGGCGCTGCTGCTGGGCGTGCTGCTGTGGGCGCCGTGGCGAGCGCTGCACGGGGCGCCACTGACCGAGCTCTCAGGGGACCAGGACTTCCAGCTCTTCCTGCAGAGGAACCTCGAGTTCACCCGCAAGATCCGTGGGGATGTGGCCGCCCTGCAGCGCGTGGTGGTGAGTCCCACACGCTGCGGAGGGGGGATGGCAGCCACTGTGAGGTCACAGATAAGGTGACCTTCCCCTCCCTGCCCTTATCGGCACCGCAGGGCCAGGAGCCAGCAGTGTCCCCTGCACTGCCCAAGGCTCAGCCCCGGGGTGTTGGGGCACCCACCGGGGACACGTGGTGACCTTCCTGGGTACGCACCTTGCCAGGGCAGCCACAGCTCCGTCCCTGTTACACCGGGTCCACTCCATCCCCTCCCTCCTCCTGGCAGGGCTGCACAGGGTCCCACACCCCAGGGACGGGATGCTGGAGGGTGCTGGGGGTGTCGGGGTCCTCTGGTGTCCTGACCCTTGTCCCCTTTGTCCGCAGTGTGACACCTTGCAGCTGTGCGAGGAGGACGAGCTGCTGCTGGTGCGGCAGCACCTGGACATCGCCCAGGCGCCGCTGGAGCAGTGTCACAAGCGAACCTTCCAGGCAGTGAGTGCGGGCAGCCCACCCCTGCCATGAGCTCGTCAGCTCTGTCACGGCTCGGGCCACCCCGGAGTGCCCCGTGTCACACCCAGCCCCTCTGACCACGCCGTGCCCCCCACAGGAGACTTGCTTCAGCCAAATCCGTGCCGGGCTCCACATCTACCAAGGCTCTCTGGCCACCATCCAGGCCCTGCTGCCCGGGCACGCTGGGCTGGTGGAGACCCTGCAGCTGGACATGGCCAACCTGTCCTCCAACATCCAGCAGCAGGTGCGGGGGCAAGGGGGGAGCTTTGTGGGGCAGGTGGGTAAAGCAGGGGCTGCATCCCAGAGGAGGAGTGGGCATGGTGGGGGTTCCATTCACAGAGAGGGGTGGGCATGGTGGGGGCTGCATTGACAGGGAGGGGTGGGCATGGTGGGGGCTGCATTGACAGGGAGGGGTGGGCATGGTGGGGGCTGCAGCCCCAGGAGGGGC